ATGCTTGTTTATTTGCTTCCAGAAATATAGGTAGATCTTTTTTTTTATCAGGTGCGATGAAATGGGAGGGGCTGGTGTGTGATAGAACACAGAAAACCACAAAGACTCAAAGCTGATTTAATCACCTTTAAATCAGACATGGTGACATTTAAAATAGTGTTTCCACCTGAAAAATATTCCTTAATGCATTTATGTCATATAAATACAAACAATTCAAATTTATAGTTTGTACTTTGCTTAATTCATATATGTAATTTGAGGCGCAATTTGCTGCTAAGATCCTCAGGGCTGAAAGGGTTAAAGTCAAACCAACATCTGCACAGACTGATTACTTAAGCACCTTTCTGCTCATATTTACTGCTTTATATTCAGGTCTCATTTTGGGGGTCTAACACTGTAGAGTGTTGAGATACACTCTTGATCAAAATCTTAAGACCAGTCAGAAAATTGCAAGAATTTGCATTTTGCACTATTGGATCTTAAGAATGTTCAAAGTAGAGCTTCACAATGTTAAAAGAAAAAATCAGTGCAAGAGACAAGAGCTTTTGAGCGGTAAACTGCATTTACACTCAAACATTATTTTTTCAGTTGATCAAAAGTTTAAGACCATAGTCTTTAAAAGCCAAAAGCTGTGCAACAATCTGGATTCCATGCCATTTTCTTTACACTGTGATGACCTCCTAATGGCAAAAGCCAAAAAGCTGACTGACTTTGAACGTGGCAGGATTGTTGAGCTGCAGAAGCAAGACCTCTCACAACGCGCGGTCGCTGCTGGACGCAGTCAGACAGTCATTTTGCATTTTTTAAATGATCCTAAGGGTTATGGAACTAAAGAGTCAAGTGGTAGACCCAAAAATATTTCACCAGCTCTGAGCCACAGGATCCGATTGGCTGTCCGTTAAGACACAGGACGATCCTCCACCCAAATTAAGGCCATTAGTGGTGCTGACTGCAGCCCAGTAACTATCAGACGGCATCTGCCAGAGAAGGGCTTCAGAAACAAAAAACTGTCTTCAAAGGCCACGTCTTCTTCAACGCCACAAAATTGCCCGTCTGGACTGTGCCAGGGTGCACCAAACATGGGACATTGAAAGGTGGAAGACAGTTGTCTTCACTGATGAGAAAACATGTAACCTTGATGATCCTGATGGCTTCCAACGTTCCTGGCATGACAAGGAGATCCCACCTGAGATGTTTTCTACACGGCACAGTGGTGGAACAATGGAGCTTCAGGTGGTGCAGGGGCATCAAACAGCAGCTGGCTATGTGGAGATGTTGCAGCGGGATCCCTCATGACTGAGGGTCTCGTCTGTGTGGGAATGATTGGGTTTTTCAACAGGACAATGCTGCAGTTCACAATGCCCGCCTGACAAAGGAGTTCTTCCAAGAGAATAACATCACTCTTAAGGACCATCCTGCATGTTCCTTCGATCTAAACCCAATGAGAACATTTGGGGATGGATGGCGAGGGAGGGTTACAGAAATGGACATCAGTTCCAGACAGTGGCTGCCCTTCATGAAGCCATCTTCAACACTTGGAGCAACGTTCCCACCAGCCTCCTGGAAACACTGGCATCAAGCATGCCTAAACGATTGTTTGAAGTCATCAACAGGAACGGTGGAGCTGCTCATTACTGAGTCCTTTTTTTCACACTTTGATTTCTGTTTTGGGTTTTTTTTTTTAGCTATGGTCTTAAGCTTTTGATCAGCTGAAAAAAATCATGTTTGAGTGTAAATGTAGTTTTTAATTAATTCCCCGCTCAAAAGTTTTGTCTGTTACGCTGATTTTTTCTTTTAACATTGTGAAGCTCTACTTAGAACCTTCTTTAGATCCAATAGTGCAAAATGCAAATTCTTGCAATTTTTTGACTGGTCTTAAGATTTTGATCAGGAGTGTAATTTGATTTAAAAAAAAAACATTATTAATCCCAAAAGGAAACAAACTGGGTTAGGGTTAACCCTAACCCTCGTATTAATAGAATAGTAGAAGGTTGGATGAGTTTTAAGCTCCTCCCCCTCCCCCTGTGTGCAGCCTGTTCAGTCCTCCTTTGGTCACCAGGACCTCCTTGGTGCATTCCTTTTCACCAGCAGGAATAGGCCATGGTTCCACAGGTTGCACCATGGGGAATGTGGTGTCCACCTGAATGTTTCAGCTTCCTGTGCAGAGGATAAAAAAGTTTTCTGTTGGTTTTAGAGGTGCAGCTTGAAAACCAGCTGATTGCATCGACTCATTGACTCTTCAGCAATCCCTCACACTAAGCATGCTTGTAGCGACAGTGGAGAGGAAAAACTCCCTTTGAACAGGAAGAAACCTCCAGCAGAACCAGGCTCAGTGTGAGCGGCCATCTGCTGAGGCCCACTGGGGTTCAGAAGCAGACATCTGCTGCATTTGCTGCATATTCAACGCTGTTTCTCTGGAATCCTCTCAGATTGAAATGGGATTACTGCATCAACATTCCCTGTTATTGCAGCGTCACCCAGAGAAAACAACTCCAGCGGCTCTGGGCAGGTTTATAATATATAAAAAAGGAAAAGTTCAGCCAGCGTTTTATATCCTACCCTGTTAGCAGGACATAAAACAATGTGTTAAAGTAACTAAATATGATAAAGTAAATGCCAAAAGCGGTTGCATTATTTTTTTCAGTTGCTCTTTAATCGCAGTGCAGCTGTGCAGAACCTGGTTTGGGTCATTTGACAAATGTATTTCAGTAGAAATATCACAGTAAAGTGGATTAAAACATATTATCTAAAAAGTAGTTGCTGAGCTAACCCTAACCCAGTGGTCCCCAAACTACGGCCCGCGGGCCGGATCCGGCCCACCTCCACACTTGGTCCGGCCCCCTGAACGATACCTGAGAGTATGTGTTTTTTTTTTGTTTTTTTTTGTATTTGATATTAAGGTTGGACATTAGCAATAAAATGTTCCTTAATTATGAAGTTTTTTCATTATTAACTATTAGTAACTATTTCATTTCACACATATAATGCAACAATGTTCCACCCTTTTGGGGTCTGTGCCCCTATCTGGCAACCCCCAGCATAAAATCTTAAACCCGCCCCTCTCAAAGAGATGCGGAAGAGGATTAAGGCCATTCAAAAAAATTTAAATAATAGTCTATTCAATTCTGACTTTTTTTTTTTTCTTATGAATGTCCCTAATCCTCTTACGTAAAGAGAGAACGGAATAATGGTGAAAAGAAAAGGTAAGAGAAAAATTGATTCAGAATGCAGGGAATTTAACCTGAATTGGACAAAGGATTTTTTTTTTGTTCAATGTAAAGAAAAGGCTTTCGTCTCATCTGTCAAGAGGCGGTGGCGGTATTCAAAGAATATAACCTGCGGAGACACTATGACTCCCGTCATAAAGACATAAATCCCGTCATTTAGGCACTCTTGCAATCGTCACATTTTTTCTGTTACAAACTGACCCCGGGCCCCCCATCAGAGAAGGGAAAAGTTACATGGCCTTCACAGGAAAAAGTTTGGGGACCCCTGCCCTAGCCCATTCCTGTGGCTCTATCAGGTGAGCTCAGTGAAACATAAACTAATGCAAGATCGGTTCTAAGATTATTCACTGATGAAAATAATGCAACCATTTTCTGGCATCTACTCTCTAATCACATTTAGTTACTTTAACACACTCATATTAGCATGGTAAGACATGAAACAAACAGATCAAAGTAGCTAATTATAATTTACTAGATGTAGAAAATGGTTGCATGTATTTCAGTGTTCTTTCTGGATGATAAAGGGTTTGTCCAACAAAATGCTTTCTGACAGTTTTAATCATTTCTTTGCTGTTTTTTAGCTTTGGTGTGAAAGTGAGCTCCAGAACTAGATGTGAACGGAGCATCGTGCATCTTTGTGATCAGATCTGCACAAAGGAACCAGAGAGCTGGAGATTCATCCACCAGCAGGTTAATCAGTTCACTTTGAAGTGATCAATGAATAACCAATGGATCATTTCCTATACCTAAAACTAATGTGTTTGTGATGATTTAATGAACTTAGTGTTAATCAGTAAAAAAAATAAAAACATTTTCTTTTTTAACAGTGTCCTCTCTGGCGATGTGGAAATAAGAATAATTGTCTTGATGCCAAAAAAAGAGCCCAACAGATTTTACTTTCACCAGTGGAGCAGTACGGCTATCGCCATAGTGTTCCATTGATTTATGCATATAAATTGCTTTATTATAATTATGCAGGGAGTTTTACAGATTATAGGGACACTGCAATGTAAGTAGATCAGGAAAGGAAAAACAGGAAAAAGGAGAACAGATGAAAGAAAGAGGAGATAAAAGTGAGATAATGATAAAACATCTTCAGTCTGCTTCATCACCTGCAAAGAGATGGAAAAAGAACAGAACAACCAACAGACACGGAGGGAGACATACAATGAAGTAACACCTAGATACTGAAGTAGTATTATTAAGTCTGACATGTACTCTGTGTTACCTGAAGATCAGAATATGGGCTTTCTGTATGGAGAGCACTGAGTCCCGCGCCGGGAGACCCAAAGCCCCAGATGCCCAAAGGGACCCCAGGAGCAAAGGTGCCAAAAAGTGGCCAACCCAGGACCCCCCCGCTCAGAACTGGCTCCCTGCCATAGTGATAATGTCCCATAATATAACCTTGTAAATATTACAAGTTACTTTAATTTAATCCAAAGTCCCCCGTGGTGTGAGAATAGAAAAACCAGATCACTGCTTGACACTCAACAGGCTGCATTTCAGACTTTACTCAGTTCAGACAGAAAACACGAATAGTTCAGAGCTGTAATAGAGATTTAAATAACTTTACATGCAGAATTTCAGCTGGATCAAACATCTGGAAGTGGGTCAGGGGCACTACTCATTGAACGCCCCTTCTGTGGGCGGGCTCTCCGGATCAGCCTCTAAGTGACGCCGCGGGATGCAGATCAGGGCGCGCAGCATCTCTCCACTAGATACAGCTGATCGGGGACCGATGGGCAACGAACCAGCCCTTTGGTTTCTATGAAAATGCCAAACCTTAGTGACATTCCGCTGAACATCAGCTCGCAGTGCCAGTGGGACCACTGGAGCGCTCTGCGCGTAACGGAGCGGCTGCCCAGAGCCGAGCACCTTTTCCATCTCATCATCCCTTTCGCCCCGGCAGTGCCTGCGCTCCTCTGCCTTTTTCTTCTCCTGACTCTCTTCTCTCTGTTAGCCAATCTGTTCACCGCCTACATCATCCACACCTCCGATGACCTGTCCTGGCTGCCGCGCTTCGTCCTCTGCAAGAGTCTGATACTGAGCGACCTCCTGCAGACCGTCACCATCGCTCCGGCGGTCATCTACTCGCTGATCCAACACCGGACGATGGCGTCCAGCTCTTGGTGTTACTTCCAGTACGTTGCTGGAGGAGCCAGCATCTTCTCCAGCCTCACCACAATCACCTGCATGGCGCTGGAGCGCTACCTGTTCGTGTGCTTTGCGCTGCAGTACACGGTGATGGTCACTCAGGAGCGCGTGAGGAAGGTCCTGCTCCTCATTTGGGTCTACTCTGTTTCCATCGGCCTCATCAGCTTGACTCTGCTGTGCAAAGGAAGGAGAGAGGAGGCCGCTCATGTCACCATGGGGCTGATGTGTGAGCCGGACATGATGGAGCAGCACATGGGTTCTCCGCGCGCTGCAGCCGTCTTCAGGAAGGCCATGGGCAACCTGACCCTGCTGCTGTGCCTGCTGGCCCACGCCTTCTCCTACTTCAGGATGTATCGCAACGCGAGCAACGCGGTGGTTCCGTTTAATGAGAGCAACACCGCGGCGCGCAGGACCGTCCTGTTCTACTGCGGGATGCTGCTCCTGCAGCTGCTCCCGCTGCTCGTTAAGGTCGCCTCGGACGCGCTTTGGGAGTTCAGAGGCACCGGCGCCATGGAGCTGTCCTCAGAGCCCCGGGGGGGCTGCCAACCCGGCCCCTCCGGCACCGCCGCGGTGTTCCACATGTCCCTGCTCACCATGCTGCTGGTGCCGCCGTGCCTTAACCCACTGGTGTACGGGCTGAGGAGCGTGGAGTTCAGGAAGGCGCTGGCGAAGCGGTTCCGCGCGCGCGCGCAGAACAGAGGCGACGTGGAGCAGCCGCGGGAGATGATGCGCCTCAGGAACGTTGTTCATCCGCACCTTCCTGAGGCGGGTTAGGTTAGAGAGGACCAGAATCTAATTAGATTGTATCTGCAGAGTAACTATTATTATGCCTAACTTATAAAAACAACGGGATCAAATATTTATCTTAATTAAAGTCTGTTTTAAAAGAATCTTTGTCTAATTCAGGATTTTATTTTATTACATAATAAAGTATTTCCACTAATTCTATAATTTTCTATAGATTGTGAAGTTAAAGGCTGATTGGTTAACTGCACCTAAACTCAAACCAAACAGCCCCGCCCCCTGACCAAAAACTATAACCCATCATTGTAAATATTTATACAGACCAATTTTAATTCATTGCTTTCTAATTTAAATGTCTTTATTATCAGAGTATTTGTGATAAACATATTTGTTGAACTATGGATTGTTTTGTTTCAAACATCTGAACATTTAACTGTGAATTTTGACTCTTTTGCTCTAAGTTACAAACAATGGATTTATTGTCATGGCATTGTCACAAGTACAAAGCAACGATATTCCCTCTCTGCATTTAACCAGTGGCTCTGTGGAGCAGTGGGCTGCCACTGTGCGGCGCTCAGGGAGCAGTGTGGGGGTAAAGGGTCTGGCTCAGGGACCCAGAGTGCAGCCTGTATACTTGCAACCATCTTAGAGCACAAAAACACGTCTCTAACCTCCAGGCCAACACCTCCCAGCTGGTTAAGCTGGTTCTAGGTCCAAATGGAGTCAGTTATGGGGTCACGGGTTAAAAAGTCCACCTTTGATGCAAACCATGGATGAAAAGACTAAATCCTAACACAGATGGAAGCGTTTCAAAGGGTGGGTGTAAAAGTAACTAATCATCTGGATTATTAAGCACGTAAGGCTGAACAGAAACATATTCTTAAATGTTAAAAGTGACTAGAATGAAGTGAATAAACAAAGTTACTTTATAATGTTTAATTTTAATTTCTTTAACAAACAGCTACATTTGGAAAATAAAATAAATGATTAGGATTACCAAAGCATCAGAGGGCATGATGAGAGGATTACTGGGTTTCTATGCAGGACTGGTTACCTTAGCAACCAGATAATAGAGAAAGATAATAAATGGATGGATGGATGATGGATGGATGATGATGGATGGATGGATGATGGATGGATGATGATGGATGGATGGATGATGGATGGATGGATGATGGATGGATGATGGATGGATGGATGGATGATGGATGGATGATGGATGGATGGATGATGGATGGATGGATGGATGGATGGATGATGGATGGATGGATGGATGATGGATGGATGGATGGATGGATGATGGATGGATGATGGATGGATGGATGATGGATGGATGGATGGATGGATGGATGATGGATGGATGGATGATGGATGGATGGATGATGGATGGATGGATGGATGGATGATGGATGGATGGATGATGGATGATGGATGGATGGATGGATGGATGGATGGATGATGATGGATGGATGGATGGATGGATGATGATGGATGATGGATGGATGGATGGATGGATGGATGATGGATGGATGATGGATGGATGGATGATGGATGGATGGATGGATGGATGGATGGATGATGGATGATGGATGGATGGATGATGGATGGATGGATGGATGGATGATGGATGGATGGATGGATGGATGGATGGATGGATGATGGATGGATGGATGATGGATGATGGATAGATGGATGATGGATGGATGGATGGATGATGGATGGATGGATGGATGATGGATGGATGGATGGATGGATGATGGATGGATGATGGATGATGGATGGATGGATGATGGATGGATGGATGGATGATGGATGGATGGATGGATGGATGGATGATGGATGGATGGATGGATGGATGGATGATGGATGGATGATGGATGGATGGATGATGGATGGATGGATGGATGATGATGGATGATGGATGGATGGATGGATGGATGGATGATGGATGGATGATGGATGGATGGATGATGGATGGATGGATGGATGGATGGATGATGGATGGATGGATAATGGATGGATGATGGATGGATGATGGATGGATGGATGATGGATGGATGGATGATGGATGGATGGATGGATGGATAATGGATGGATAATGGATGGATGATGGATGGATGGATGATGGATGGATGGATGATGGATGGATGGATGGATGGATGGATGATGGATGGATGGATGGATGGATGATGATGATGGATGATGGATGGATGATGGATGGATGGATAATGGATGGATAATGGATGGATGATGGATGGATGGATGATGGATGGATGGATGGATGGATGATGGATGGATGGATGGATGGATGATGGATGGATGGATGGATGATGATGGATGATGGATGGATGGATGGATGGATGGATGGATGATGGATGGATGGATGATGGATGGATGGATGGATGGATGGATGATGGATGATGGATGGATGGATGATGGATGGATGGATGGATGGATGATGGATGGATGGATGGATGGATGGATGGATGATGATGGATGATGGATGGATGGATGGATGGATGGATGGATGATGTATGGATGGATGATGGATGGATGGATGGATGGATGATGATGGATGATGGATGGATGGATGGATGGATGGATGGATGATGGATGGATGATGGATGGATGGATGGATGGATGGATGATGGATGGATGGATAATGGATGGATGATGGATGGATGATGGATGGATGATGGATGGATGATGGATGGATGGATGATGGATGGATGGATGATGGATGGATGGATGGATGGATAATGGATGGATAATGGATGGATGATGGATGGATGGATGATGGATGGATGGATGATGGATGGATGGATGGATGGATGATGGATGGATGGATGGATGATGATGGATGATGGATGGATGATGGATGGATGGATAATGGATGGATAATGGATGGATGATGGATGGATGGATGATGGATGGATGGATGGATGGATGATGGATGGATGGATGGATGATGGATGGATGGATGGATGATGATGGATGATGGATGGATGGATGGATGGATGGATGATGGATGGATGGATGATGGATGGATGGATGGATGGATGATGGATGATGGATGGATGGATGGATGGATGGATGATGGATGGATGGATGGATGGATGGATGGATGGATGGATGGATGATGGATGGATGATGGATGATGGATGGATGGATGATGGATGGATGGATGATGGATGGATGGATGGATGGATGGATGGATGATGGATGGATGGATGATGGATGGATGATGGATGGATGATGGATGGATGGATGGATGGATGGATGATGGATGGATGGATGATGGATGATGGATGGATGGATGGATGATGGATGGATGGATGATGGATGGATGGATGATGGATGGATGATGGATGGATGGATGATGGATGGATGGATGATGGATGGATGATGGATGGATGGATGATGGATGGATGGATGATGGATGGATGGATAATGGATGGATGGATGGATGGATGATGGATGGATGGATGGATGGATGATGGATGGATGGATGGATGATGGATGGATGGATGATGGATGGATGGATGGATGGATGGATGATGGATGGATGGATGGATGGATGATGGATGGATGGATGGATGATGGATGGATGGATGGATGGATGGATGATGGATGGATGATGGATGGATGGATGGATGATGGATGGATGATGGATGGATGGATGATGGATGGATGGATGGATGGATGGATGGATGATGGATGGATGGATGGATGGATGGATGGATGGATGGATGGATGATGGATGGATGGATGGATGATGGATGGATGGATGGATGGATGATGGATGGATGATGGATGGATGGATGGATGGATGGATGATGGATGGATGGATGGATGGATGATGGATGGATGGATGGATGGATGATGGATGGATGATGGATGGATGGATGATGGATGGATGGATGGATGGATGGATGGATGGATGATGGATGGATGGATGGATGGATGGATGATGGATGGATGATGGATGGATGGATGGATGATGGATGGATGATGGATGGATGGATGATGGATGGATGGATGGATGGATGGATGGATGGATGGATGATGGATGGATGGATGGATGATGGATGGATGATGGATGGATGGATGATGGATGGATGGATGGATGGATGGATGATGGATGGATGGATGGATGGATGGATGATGGATGGATGGATGGATGATGGATGGATGGATGGATGGATGATGGATGGATGATGGATGGATGGATGATGGATGGATGGATGGATGGATGGATGATGGATGATGGATGGATGGATGATGGATGGATGGATGATGGATGGATGGATGGATGGATGATGGATGGATGGATGATGGATGATGGATGGATGGATGGATGGATGGATGATGGATGGATGGATGGATGGATGATGATGGATGATGGATGGATGGATGGATGGATGGATGATGGATGGATGATGGATGGATGGATGATGGATGGATGGATGGATGGATGGATGATGGATGATGGATGGATGGATGATGGATGGATGGATGGATGGATGATGGATGGATGGATGGATGGATGGATGATGGATGGATGGATGATGGATGATGGATAGATGGATGATGGATGGATGGATGGATGATGGATGGATGGATGGATGATGGATGGATGGATGGATGGATGATGGATGGATGATGGATGATGGATGGATGGATGATGGATGGATGGATGGATGATGGATGGATGGATGGATGGATGGATGGATGGATGATGGATGGATGGATGGATGGATGGATGATGGATGGATGGATGATGGATGGATGATGGATGGATGGATGATGGATGGATGGATGGATGATGATGGATGATGGATGGATGGATGGATGGATGATGGATGGATGATGGATGGATGGATGATGGATGGATGGATGGATGGATGGATGATGGATGGATGGATAATGGATGGATGATGGATGGATGATGGATGGATGGATGATGGATGGATGGATGATGGATGGATGGATGGATGGATGGATAATGGATGGATAATGGATGGATGATG